AGGAGATGCTGCCCTTGCTGGCAGTGGCTTTAAACTTTATTTTTTCTCCCTGCAGCAGTTGCTTGAACTCTCGAGATGGGTGGAGCCAGGAGAGGTAAGAGCCTCCATCATTGGTCCTTTCCGGCAGCCTGCCATGGGCCCACCTGGTATTCATCAATGCCTCCAATGTCTCCAGACTCGGAAGCAGCCCCTCCCTGCGTAAGATCTTGGGCCCCAGTCACTGAGAAGCCCACGGGCCACCCTCTTCTCACTGCCTCATACACCAGGACCTCTCCAGAGGGAGGTAACCAGCCTTTCTCCAAGACACTCCAGAAGACACCCAAGAGGCCCTCCTCGAGCAAGAGAACCTTCTGCCACGATGAAAACAATGCTCATGTATGTTGTCCAACCGGCTGAATATTCATCCAGCAGGGCTTTTCCAGCCACACCTGAAATATGGCTAAGAGATGACAGACCAAATCATTAATATGCAAATTAAGTGGCTGTGGATATCTACTGACAACTGCCTTGCACAGTGCCTTCTGAAGTGTGTTCCTGAGTGGCCTCCAACCTGGTCCTGGCTTCAATCCTTCATGCTGGAGCATGGTGGCGCCTGGTCCCCAGTACCCCCTGTCTGGCAGTAGTCATTCACTGTGTCCCATCCCATAACATCCCATAAACCCCACAGGGCCCACATATCTCTTGCCTTTTATTCCAGCATCTCCCAGAGACCCATTATGTACAGATTGTATTTATACACATAATAATATACATTGTATATTCGTATTCATATATATATTCACACGCTAGCCCACATGCTCAGACACTCACACATACATCCTTCCTGGAGGGGCACGGCCACCTCCGAGCCTCACTCAGCCCTGACAAAAGGTTCTAGGTTCAGCAGGCAGTGGTGAGGTTTTATGTTTTTTGCTTCCAAAACAAAACAAAACAAAAAGGCCATATTCTCCAAGTGTGTCCTTCCATTCCCCAAGACCCTAAAACCCTCCCCAAAACATTCTGAATTTTTGTTTGCAGAGGTTTCTCTGCTCTTCAAGGCCTCAGTGGAGAATCCAGGCCTGTCTTGTGGCTTGTACAGGTCCCTGAGGGGAACCCAGGTGGGCCAAAAAGGGTCTGCATGTCTGCAGTGGTCCAGCTGCCCTGTGACCTCCAGATTGACAGGGTGGAGAGCTATAGAGCCAAGGGCACCTGCCAGATAAGAAGTGTGCTGTCTGTCTCGCTACATGGGGCTGGCCGCCCACTCAGGCCACCTGGAGCACTGCCAAAGTGGCGGTAGCCTTGCCCACCGGAGATGATGGCCACAGAACAGATCTCTTTGCGATGGGCATCACGGGCACAGGGCCGGCTTCGTACCCAGACATCGGGGTCGTCGGCCATCTCATAGATGGAACCATCCTCCTCACTGTGCTCCAGAGCCGAGCCATCAGTGGGTGCTGGCTCCCGCACCGACAGCAGGGGCCCGGGGAGGTGAGCTGTGGAGCGCAGGCGGTATTGAAGCAGTATGCCTTTCTTGCGGGTCAGTTCTCGGCCTGTGTGGCTATCAGGTGCAGGCACTGGTTCGTGAGCCTGCCCATCTGACTTGTCCTCCTCAGCCTGAGGCCCCTCAGCCTCTTCCTGGTCACTCCTCAGGATGTCAGGGGCCAAGATGCTCATGGCCACAGCTAGAAAGGCCACAGGTCCACAATGACCATTGAGAGACACCATGCCTTTCCCTATGGGAAACAAAACAGAGGAGAAGGCCCAAGAGACCAGGTCACTAAGGGAGATAGTCAAGTACTTCTGTAGAATTTTCTGAATGGGTTGGACATTTTCAGAGACCAGGTCACTAAGGGAGATAGTCAAGTACTTCTGTAGAATTTTCTCAATGGGTTGGACATTTTCTGCCATCTATGTTGGCAGTTCCCCAGAGGCCATGAGATCTGTCTATGCCATGTTTCAGGGCAGGGCTTTACAGAGCGGGGCCATCTCCATCTCCAGGGTGAAACAGCCTCACTGATAACTTCCTCCAAGCTCCACCCAGAAAGCCAAGTCTTATAACAGGCTCTACAGCTCTTCCTTCCCGCCGAGCTCCAACATCCACATTGCAACCTGCCTGCATCCTCCCAGGGGAAGTGGCGCCTAGCTATCCCCTGATCTCCTTCCACCACAGCACCCTCTGCCATGGCTGTCCTGGACATTACCAGGCATCCTCATGTTCCACCCAGCCTGGTGCCTCTGTGCATGCACACATTGCTCTAGTAAGTGTTATCATGAAGACAGGACACCTGGAAATCTGAGAGTCTACAAGAGGGTAGAGGTCTGATCTGGCAGGCTCAGGCTGGCTCCCATCCTCTAACCCCTGTGCTCACCAGCCACTAGAGGAGATTACTGGTCTTCCCTTTCAGGGCAGAGGCAAAGGGGACCAGATCTCCATTGTCTAAACACCAGGGTTTTTCCCTGACCCTGCTTCTGTTCTATTGGGCCTAGGTTCACAGGTCAGGGAAACAGCTGACATGGGCCCATCCCCAGAGTCCACACTTCTACCTCTGATACCCTGCTACAGAGAGAGGCAGCAGGGCCTGGCAGAGCTTCTGCCATTCTTCAGGTGCCTCAGCCAACCCTCAGACTCTCTGGCCAGTGTGAGCTACTCCACCCAGATCAGACAAGCAAGAATCAGGAGGTAGGAGGTGGTAGCCTGGTGTATCATTTTACTATGCCCTGGCTAAGGCCAAAGGACAGAGAGGCTAGGCTCTACCACAAATCAGTAGGGATTGCAGATGTCTGCGTCCAGTTCCTCTTATCCCACCAAGACAGTCCTGGAACCTCACCTGTTATCTTAGGGATGCCCTCCAGCCGGGGCACAGGCAACAAGACAATGACACCTTGATCAGTGCCTACCCAGAGCAAACCCTGGCAGATAAGGAGGCTGGTTACACACAGGTGCTTCTGGCCTGTGGAGAGAAGCAATATGAGCTCAGTGCATCCTGGTAAGGGAGCTACACAGCCCAGATTTCCCCCAAGACAAGCTGGATGGTGCTGTGGTTTGGACATGGGCACCCAGCCAGACCTCAGCTTCTCTATCTGTAAATGGACACAGTGGGGTAATGCCACAGGACATGGTGCTTAGCCGTTGTCGGCTCTGTGTGTCAGGGCTCAGTTGTCTGGCTCCCAGGAGCAGTTGGGTCTCCATGCGAAAGCCACACCCAGAAAGCCAGGCTGCAAGCCAGTGAAGAGCAGGTGGGACAGTCTGCAATGGGAAGGGATAATTAGAAGCTGGCAGCAGTGCCACATCCTAGAAGGGGGCCGGCCAGGGCAAAGCCTGTGAACAGGACCGCTGCCAGGTTACTCCAGGCAAATGGGTGGATGAGCAGATGGACAGACAGATGAAAAGATGAGAAGAAGGATGGATAGGTGAGTGGATGGAAGGGTACGTTGGGCAGTGGGTAGGTGGAGGCATGGACAGATGGGTGGATGGGTGGATGGGTGGATGGATGGATGGATGGATGGAGGGAGGGAGGGATTCACAAGTGCATAGATGGATGGATTGGTAGATGAACAGATAGGCGAATGGCTAGATGACTGGATGGATGGATGGATGACAGATGGATGGATGGATGATGGACGGATAGGCAGGCAGGCAGATGACAGACATTGGCAAGTGATAAATGGGTGGATAGATAGATAGATAGATAGATAGATAGATAGATAGATAGAT